CCCCAAAACCCCAAAACCCCTTTGCTATAAGATTTATTTATGGATAGATATTAATAAATACTATAATTATTAAAAAGGTATTAAGAAAACTAGAATGGGCCAAATCTTAAACAAGAAAAAAAATAAAAAAGAAACAGATCAATAAATGGATTATCAAGTATCTATAGTAATATATATATTTTCTTAAAGTAATAAATTAATAGAATAAGTATGACAACAAAAAATTGAAAATCGATTGCATCGACATGAATAAAAATGAAAGATTTGTTAATTAGTCAAAGGTATACTTTAGTTTTAATCATTTAGGGATGCATTATGGGAGCTTTTATTGGAGATGCAGCAGGGGCTTTTCTAGAATTCAAACGTTCGGTAACGGATTTTGAAGTAGAGTAAGCAATGGAGTTAAGAGGTGGGGGGCCACATAGAATTGCACCTGGCTAAATTACTGATGATTCTGAAATGGCACTCTGCATTTTCCATGGACTTTGTAACAAATTTATTCATAATAAACATTATAGTGAATAGCAAAGGAGCATTAAATCTTGATAATATTGCTGGCATGTATTTTAAATGGATCTTATCAGGGCCATTTGATATTGGCGTAACCACTAAAACAGCTTTGACACCTTAAGAGAAAACAGCTGAAGGCATCTTCGATAGGGTCTCTAGTTATAATCAAACTTCATAAAGTAATGGTTGCTTAATGAGAATTACTCCATTAGCTGTATGGGGATCATAATTATCTAATGATGACCTATACCGAGCAGTGTATCTTTAAACTTATTTGACTCATTGCAACTAGATAGCTATAGATTCAACTTACATCTATTGTTTCGCAATAAAACTTATTCTAAATGGGAAGACTGATAGATAGACCATATTCGAGGAAGTTTTACTAGAGGCTTAAACTAGATAAATGAGTAAAATAGTAGAATGGTTGAATGATTCTTGCTAATCTAAACTCCCATCCCCTACTTTTAATTAAGGTTGGCTGAAAATAGCTTTTGTGTACTCTTTTCATTTCCTTCTCTAGAAAAATAATGATTTGAACTCATGTCTAAAGCAAATGATAATGGGAGCAGGAGATACTGATACCAATGCTGCTATAGTAGGTGGACTTATTGGGTCATTTGAAGAACTAAACAATCTTGATTAAAAGCTTGTTAGAAAAATTATGGACTTAAGATTTAATGGCGAAGTATATTAAGGAATTAAAAGACCAGATTTTTTAGTTCCAGGATTGTCACTAAATTAAAAAAATTACAATGAATTCTTTAAATATCTACCCAAGAAACTTGAGGTAATTTATATGAATAAACTCTACAAAGAAGATGAAATTAATCAAATTATGAGAAAGTTCCCACTTGTTGATTAAGAAGAATTACCTAAGAAGTCATTAGATAAATGGTTTTGAGAAAATATTAAGAACCTTAAGTAGATTATTATAATAATGAGAAAGAGTTAAAAGTGTCATAAAAGTATAAATTATCCAGTTCAAATTTTAAAATCCTTGCTCTTTAAATTGTAATGAATCATTTTAGATCTTGATTGAATTTAAAACCCAAATATAATTTCTTATTTTGCAACTAGGGGTTTTGGGGTTTTGGGG